TACTTAAAGCTGATTCCTGTTTCCTGAGTGTTACTTCTTGGGGCCTTCAGACAAAAGAACCGGTCAGAATTAAAAGTAGTGGGAGCTATACTTGAAGTTCGAAGTGTAGAGGGTGAACAGAAAGGGGGAAAGCACCGTCCCCCACCGTTTGTGATTATTGGATGGTGTTTTCAGGATAATGCACCAAATCTTTCTGACCGTGGTGGAACCTATGTATGAAAACTGCTCCTTGTGTCAGGTTTGCCCGGCTGCACCTACTTTCTCACTCCCCTCACTCTGTTTTCACTCCCTTACCCTGATTACGTTATCCTTTACACCTGCTTCTTACCCCCGGATTACCACCAGCTGCACCTGATTAGTTTCTCCCTATTTAGCCCCTGCTCTTCGTTCACTCCCCTGCCAGTTCTTTCTAACATTTCTCAGGCCTGTTTGTTCCCCGTTGTTCCTTCTGATCTGTGTTAGTTTTTTTTTGTCTCCTTCTCTCCAGCTGCTTTTATTCATCGAGCCATCATAACACCTTGCCCAGAAATAATTCCTATCTAAAACAGCCAATTGTCATTTTTACACCAAACAAGTGAGATAATATGTTAATCAGGAAGCATTTGAAGTTCTGGTAGGTGAATTTTGTTACTATTGGACAAAGCTAGTGTTGGTCTTTGTTTCTTCTTAACATTGCTAACTCTAAGAGACGAGACAGTCCAAGTAACTACAAAATAGTGCTGATTTATTCAAAGGATCACAGGTAAAATTAACATTACACGCTCAGGTATCTTGCACCTCCAAACTGCACGCAGGCAGATGTAAGATGAAAGACCCTGAGCCCACCAGGCCTATACATTATATCCCCTCGGTTGGGCTAGCCCCATACTACACAGAAACGTCAACCGAGATGTCTCTGTTACCAGCTTTGCAGCTGGCCATAGCAGTAGTCAAAACATGAAGCAAATCAATGTGTGTGTGTCTGTTGATTAAGTGGTGTGTAGCTAAAAACATTCTCACGACCTCTAGAACATGTCGTGACTTAAACATAAGAACATATTATGGCTAAGGCTACAGTTATACACGTCATAATAATA